ATTCAATTAAGAAATATGTTTTGGTTGCTCAACCAACCTCTCTTTCTCTGGAAAATAAAATCATTCTCTACAAATGTGTTTTGAAACCTGTTTGATCATATGGTATCATATGATCAAACAGGTCACATATGAGTTTGATCATATGTGAGGAACAGCTTCAAATTTAAATATTGAAATATTACAAAGATTCCAATCTAAGACTCTGTGAATGATGGCGAACGCTCTGTGGTACAACACAAATTCACAAATTCATCGTAACCTCAATATACCACTAGTTAAGGAGAAAGCGAAAAGCAGGTCCCATTCAAACAATTTGGCTTCAAATCTAATGACACACCCACAACTATTCACAAGACTGAAAAGAAAAGCGCCAATTGATCTTTGTACAACTTAAGATTGAAATAAGTTCTTTATAGCGATGTCTCAAAGGGGACATACAGATTACGACTTTCAGTTATATAAATATTGTTATTAAAAATTTGTAAAATATCGAATTAGTTATAGATAGAATACAATTATAAAAAAAATACAAAAAAAAAATGCTATTCACGTTTTTTTGAGGGATGATAGTGTCCACCCACCATTAAAAACACCGTATGACAGGCCATTTAAGGTTGTGAGGTGTTCAGACAAGACATATGACCTTCTAATCAAAGGAAAACTGGTGCGGACGAGTGTTGATCGGGTAAAGGCAGCATTTTTATCAAGTGATTACGAAGACGTAAGCCCATCACGTACAGAAACAATGGCAGATATTCGAATGGATACCAAACCCAGTAATGTAACACGTAGGGGACGATTAGTGCAGGTTCCAAGAAGATACGTTAAATTTGACTTAATGTGACATCGCGCCTGACTCAGTCTCTGCCAAGGGAGTGATGTGGCGGATATTTCCCACTTAATATTGAAAATTGTATGAGTTGGCAATAGAATTGTACTTAACGGTGAAAGAAATGATAATTTAGGTAATGCAGTTATGCTTCTCTTACAGCTTTCGAATGCCCTCTCTAACATAGGTCATTCTTTGTTGAACTTTTGGTAGTTCGTTTAACGGAGCTTGCAATTTAGCTGCTTGCGAAATGGACTTGCGATATTAATTAAGAATTCCAAAAAACCAATAAAATTCTTTAATTGTTTTTGGATTATTTAATTGCTTTTACTTGTTCTGTAGGTGGACTGATTCCTTTGGGTGATATGTCGTCCCATAAAAAGCTTATCTGCGGAACTCCGAACTCCCATTTGACGTTGTTTATAATAAGCTTGGCTTCCTTTACAGTTCTTAACACTTCTTCTATATGTTTCAAATGTTGTTCGCTTTCTGAGAATATCAAGATGTTATCTAGGTTACAGAAGACAAATGGCATTGCTCTGAACAACGACTACATTTATCATTGAAAAGTTTGTGTAGCATTTTTAAACCAAAAGGCATTAGTGCAAATTCAAACAAACCAATAGGTGTACTAACAGCGGTCTTGCATATATCTTCAGCTAACATTTGTATGTTATAGTATGCTCTGTGGATGTCGATTTTTGAGAACAATTTGCTGGCATATAGATTGTCCGTTACTTGGTGTAAGTATGGTATTGGATACTGATCTAGTTTGGTTTGAGCGCTCGAAGGGCATATGATTCCTTGTTCTAATAATGTTAAAAATTCTTCTTAGATTGCTTTTACTTTCTCTTTTGAGTAACGGCGTGACCGTTTATATACCGGCTGAATATCGGTGACTGATTATAGACTAACGAGGTGCCATGGAGACTGTAGGTATTCGCACTGTACAAATCGACACATTTGCTGATGATTGCAAAGAATTTGTGCCTGCCAATTCAGCCGTCTGGTTAACATTGTTGGAACTGCATGCTGATAAAATGCATCGTATATTACTTGGCAAACACTGCAGCGAAAACGCTGACAAAGCGTCTTCAGAAACATCCAAATCTGTTAGTAATTTTATTAATTGTTTCTGGTAAAATTCTTTAAATCGCTAGATTAATTCATTGCAAATGAATGCAGCACGTGCTCATTGCAGAAAGTTATCGATATCGCCAATGCAGTGGAATATATCCAAAAGCAGCACGAGTTGACGATAAAGCAGAAGGTTGGCGGTGAGCTGTTATGTATGAATAACGGGAGAAGCAGAGGCACAAAAACTCAGCAACAACAAAAACAAAGTAAACAGTCGCAGCAACAACAACAAAAACTATGTACAGTGTGCGGATACAAAAATCATATGGCTTCGGAGTGCAGGCACAGAAATTATAAATGCAAAAAATGTAATGTAATAGGCCATTTGAATTAAATGTATAATTCTAGTTGTTAACAAGTCAACGAACTGTATAATAGACTTGCATTTATTTCCTAACTGAAAACAATGCTAGTCAACAGTTACAAGATCAAAAACAGTTTAATTTTGTGCAGAATGGTGAAGCTGTCTGGTATGCATTGAATAGCAAGGGTAATGAGCCTATAATAGTCACAGTACACATTGAAAATATGCTGTTAAAATTAGAACTGGATACAGGGTCCACTTACAGTATTATGTCTTTAAACACATTTGAAAAAAATTTTAAATCAAAAACAATAGAGAAAACTAACATTGCGCTTAAGTCTTATACAGGTGAGCCAATACTGCCAACTGGTAGTTGTGATTTGTATATAACATACAACGGTAAAAATTATATAATTAAATTCCTAATAATTAGAGGAGGGGGTCCTCCACTGTTAGGCTGTAATTTTTACACAACATTTAAACCTAAAGTCGCTGAAATTTTTAGCTTAGAAACAGATGAGATAGAAGAAATTGTGCAAATGTTTAAAAGCTTGTTTGACAGTGGGTTAGGCCGGTTCACAAAAAGCAAAGCAACACTAAATCTAAAGGATGAGGCAAGACCAAAGTTTTGTAAACCCAGACCTGTGCCATTTGGCTATCAAACCTAAACTTGAAAAGGAATTGAATCATTTAGTTGATATAGGTGTGCTTAAGCCGGTGACATATAGTGATTGGGGAACATTAACTGTACCAGTGTTAAAAAAAATGGTGAAGTAAGAATTTGTGGTGATTTTAAAATCACAGTTTACCCCAATGTAATTGTAGAAAAATATCCCCTACCCCGTATTGAAGATATTTTCGGTAAATTAGAGGGCGGGGTTGAAAATTCAAAGTTGGATATGTCAATGGCATCGAATCAGCAGATCGAATTAGATGATCAAGCAAAGTTTTTTAGGAGTAGTTAATTTTTATAAAAAGTATAAGCCCGAGGTTGCAAGTACATGTGCACCCTTATATGATTTGTTGAAAACATCAGAAACCTTTGAATTCACAACATTGCATAAGGAAGCAGTAGATAATCTTAAAAACGAAAAGTATGAAATTTATGAAGAAGATAGCTGTTTCTTTTGGGGTTACAGAATAATTATTCCTAGCAGTCTTCAAAAGTCGGTTTGTAAATTTTTGAATGAAACGCATTTGGATATTAATAAAGTTGAAAGTATGGAGAGTGTTGTTAGTGGCCTAATCAAAATGTAGATTTAGAAGAAATTGAAAAAAATTGCGACTCGTGTTTAATGAACAGAACTAACCCTTCCAAAAATGAATTGATTACCTAGAAGTCATATTGATTTTTTCGGACCGTTTATGAAAAGATAGTGTTTAGTTGTAGTTGCAGTTATAGTAAATGGGTTGAATGTATTGATATGGGTACAAACATCACCTCGCGAAGTACTATTATGACCCTGAAGGAATTATTTGCCCGTTTCGGGTTGCCAAAAATAATAGTTTCAGATAATGGAACTTCGTTTGTGTCAAAATTTCGTATTAATGAACGAAATGAAATACATCACAACACCAGTGGGTCAAGACGATCAAAAGCGCTTTAAAGAAATGTTATGTTTCCCAACCTTTCTCACACTGTAGTTAACAACATAAAAAACGA